TACCGTAAAATACCGATAAAGCGCCCCCCTTAATTTTGACGAAAATCGGCGTGATATAGAGGGGGGCCGATAAACGGTACTCAAGAAAATTCTAAGCACCGTCTTTCTTTTCTGCTCAATCTTTTACATTCAACTCTCCCACCACACCCTAAATTTTTCTCACATTCTTATCAGTGAGTGTACATTCCAATCAAGGTGACCTTGACTTCTAATCTTTTTCGTTTTTTCTTTTAAGAAATTTATATTGTTAAGACAAAAAAAATCAGCTATATTCTTTTTATTTTGAATTTTATTCTGTTGAAGTAACTTACTTTATTTTATCTTTTAAAAATAAAAACGAAGCCTGAAGAAAAAAATAATAATAAATCTGTATCAAAGGAAACATCTGTTTCTAAAGCAGTTTAAAATAAAGTGAGAAGTAAAAACACCTGCATTTCCAATGAACAAAATAAAGAAATGGAAGTTGGAAAAAACTGATCAATCAATCTTGACAGCTGTGCTTGTGCTTTACTGATTTGCCCCCAAATTTCCCTCCTCTCTTTGACCATAAATTGGCCACACCCAGTTGACATTGAAACTACCATGTGGACAATAAAATGAATTTGTTCCTTTTGCGGTTTTTTATTCGATTCATTAATTTTTTTTATTTTGCCGCTTTTTATTTTTTCTTGTTAATTGTTGCTTGCTTGTTTTTTTTATCGTTATTAGTTTTTAGCTTGTCTTTTGCTATTATTCATTGTTAGTTTCTTAGCATTAGTTGTTCAAAAAAATGTTTTTTGTAGTTCCCTGCTAGCTTTTTTTTCTTTTCTTGCGAGGTAAGTGTCTTTTGTTAAAACAAAATGTTATCTAAAAGAAAAAACGAGAACTATGATCTCGCTCCAAAGAAGAAACGATTATTTCTTCTTCGTAGGATTCTGATTATTTCTTCTTGATTATATTATATAGATTATTATTTTGATTAGCAAAATTTCTCTTAAGATGGGCCAGTTTTAAATTCACCCCATCATAATCTACGATCAAAACTTGACTAAATTTATTGGTTTTTCTGAAATTAACAGTGGAATAGAATTATAGTAATATTTGGGGGCCATATTGGAATTTCCGAAAGAGATCCGAAGTTCGGCATTTCGTCAGTCCCGTGAGTGTCGGATTTAGGGTCCTATTCTTCATTTTCTGTTGGCAATACCGCAATATCGTTGTTACAATTGCCAAGGCGTTAAATAGATTTATATCTTGCGATTTTTCCTTAAGCTAGGGGTGGATACAAGATGCATACCTTTTAAATTTTCTCCTTATGCGATGTTTTTTTAAAATTATTATTTCGTTTATTTATTTTCTTACAGGCTGCTGCTGAAAGTTTGCTAAGAATTGGCGATGTTCTGCAGTAGATCGCGATACGGGCGAATATTTCGTCGACTTCGTCATTAATTTTTTTTTAACAGTCTTTCTCTCAGAAAATTATTTAATCTTAAATAACTTACCTTGACAAAAAAATATTTCGTCGGAAGCGCCGCTGCTTCGAAAGCGCCGCATGTAGGAAAAATTTTTTTTCTTCGATAGAGCCGCGGCTCTTCCGCCGAAAAATACGGTATATTCACAACAGTAGAAATTACTTTATTTTATAAACTTTTTCATTAATTTGAACAAACATCACAGGCTGACAGGTGATCTTTTTTTCATTCAAAATGATTTAAAATCTGATAAACTATAACTCAATAAAACATTAACAAGGTTCAAAATTAATAATTGTAAGTTGGTTCGAGATATGGGGAGAAATGGTTCGCTTAGTGGAGAAGAATACAGGAAAAAACAAGCAGACAAACGAAAGGTTAAAATATTTTTTTTTTAAGTTCTCAATGTATTAAGTATTTTTTAAAATATACAAATTGAACTTTTTCTTATAATTTTGTTAATAATCATATTGTAAAAAATCGCAACATTTCTCCAATCTAAAAAAGAAAAATTCTCCAAAAACTTTCTATTAAGTTTAGGGCTTCGGTAAATTTTATTACAGTTTTTATTTATATCACAAGCCTCTAGCATTACTTCGGCTGCATGAATTCAAATAATCAGAATTTCCAGAAGTTTGAAATTCATTAAAAATATACAAATTGAATTTATTTTTTACTTTAAATAAAAACTAGATTTTCAAGAATTTATTTAAGCCTAACTTTCTACATACATCATTAAGAAGATTTTTGAAAAAATTAATAATTTTAAAAATTCGTAATTTTTTCTTAAATTTACGAAGGGGCCTATTCTTTCAGAGCAATCACCTTCCAATGAGATGAACCAGGTTCGAATCCCAGCGATGGCTGGTCGATACGAATTTTACATCCAGCTTGCATTGACCACATTGCTGATGTGAATTATCCTAAGTGGTAGACGGATCATGGGCTAGAGTCTCCTTGTCGTCGGGCTAAATGTGGGAGGTTCTCGTGGTCTTCCTTTGCATGTAACGCAATTACAGGCTAAGTTAGTTCCATCAAAAAGTCCTCCACGAAACCAAATTTTGCCAAATATTTGATCCAGGAGTTCCCTTGTCTTCTGGATTCTGTTTAAAATTACAAGGCTACGTAGTTGAACATTAGTAATTGTAAACCCGAAAACTGGGTCGGCTGTTCCACAACGGTTATCAAATTAATACAGTTTGAACATTATAATGGATACAAAATATTGTTTTAACTGTAAATAATTGGAAAAAAATGCAGTGTGTTAGCTATGAGGGTTGTATAAAAATATCAACTGTATATAAATTGAAATATATATGAGGAAAAAAAATACCTTGATCTTTGCAAACAAAATTTTCCCATGTTTTAAACCAACTCATACTGATTGCATAAACAACTGGATTTTCCATATGTTGAAATTCTGCATTCATCTATAATGAAATAAAAGAAATATATATACATACACACACAAATATATATATTGAGAGTACAAATTAGTTCGGTTCATTTTTTACTGGTCAAAAAAGCATTTATTTCAAAACAAAATGAATGAACAGATTAATCAAAGTATTGTCCATCGCTGGCTACTACTTTTTCCCACCTCTCAGGCAATTTTTGAATTCCTTCTCGAAAAAATGTCTCGTCTTTTGAGGCGATCCAAGTTAGGAGCCAATTTTCGATTTCTTCAAGAGAAGTGAACCGGTGGCCTACCAAATCGTGCTGCATTCGCCTGAACAACCAGTAATCAGAAAGAGCTATGTCCAGAGAATACGGCGGCTGTGGTAAAATATCCCACTTTATTGTTTCCAAATATTTTTTTACTACATGAGCCCGACTGTTATCATGCAGAAGAATAACTTTGTCATGTCCGTTTTTTTTTGTAATGCATGACGCAAACGAATCAATTGTAGCCTATACTGATCGGTTGTAATGGAATCGCCAAGTTGGTACAGCTCATAGTATACAACACCATTCACCACTCTTGAAACGTCAAAACCATTCCCTACATGATTTATCAGTCGGAGATTTGTCCCCATAAACTACTACAAGTATCCGATGCGCTTCAGCTGCAATTTTCTTGCAATTAAAGCAGAAACATAAAACCTCTTACAAATGGTGCTTAGCTACCACAAAATTTGACACATTCAAAAAAGTAAGAAACAAGGTTTTTGTATGAAACTCAAAGCAATATGAACTGAATATTATTAACAGATGTCTAACCTCCCTGAAACCACCGAAACCAGCTGTCACTATGAAACATTCATAACAGCCACAGCCAACTTCTGAAAACAGACTGAACTAATTTGTACTCCCAATATATATATATATATATATANAATGAAAGATCCATTAAGAAAAGTGATTCGGATTTTATTCTAAATGGCGCAATAAGAAATTTTTTTCAACATGCGAGAAATTCGGGAATTTTGAAATTGGTTTATAGAATGCGCAAATTTCTCGCGATAATAATTTTTTAATGCGAGAAAAGAAAAAAATATGCGAGATTCTCGCGTTCTCGCGCTGTAGTGAAAACACTATATATATAATTATACATTTATGACAGACAGATAGATTTCACTTCATAAAAGGAAAAGGTTAAAAATTTATGATACTCTTATTTTCTGACCTCAAAATATTATTTTGGTGTCTAGAATTTCCTTGCCAGTATAAATTTAGAACACATTTTTTTATCAACCAATAGAAAAAACATTGTGATTATGATCTGACCTTTGCAATAGGTTTTAAACTTAGAATAAAAGTAGAAAAATTTAATTCATTTTTTCTATAAAGACTGGTACACAATTCAGCTTCAAAGTATTTACCTCAAAATTTCCAGTGCATGGTTTGCACTAGAACGTGCAAGGGTTTGAATTACAATGTGAAAATGTAACAATATAAATGATTACAAAATCCTAAGAAATTTCTTTTATAAATGCAAGCTCATTAGACAAAGGTATAACTATTGCAGAAAATGTACTAATGATTAATAAAAAATGAATAAAAAGTAAATAAATTTATCTGATTATGTAACTGCCCATTTTTTTCTGATAAGAATCAAGGAGATAAGAGTTTATAATCAGGAAGCCTTTTCTTTAAACTACTGTTTTTCAATGTGATTAATATTCTTACAATTTCAATTCTGGTTCGATTATGAAATCAATGAATTTGGTAATAATTTTTCAGAAGAAAAACATTTTCAAATTAAAATTGCTTAAAATATGCATAATAAATAAAAAAAAATTGAGATCCAGGAAGTAGAGTTAACACACTGCAGACAAGATTAAAGGAAACAGCTTTTCAAGACTCTGTGGGTCCTTGAGACCAAGATTGAATAAAATAGGATTCATAAGCAATCCTGTTGATAATTAAAAACTTATATCAAGCATAAAATTAAACACTTAGGGTAATTGTGACACGAAGTGAATATGATCAGAAATTTTTATAAGCAAAAACTGATTCCAAGATATCAATATTTATGTTCTACAAACTACATGTTTTGTATAATTTTTTAAACTAAGATTTTTATTTTAATTACCTATCAATGATAAATATATCACATTTTTATGCTAACTAAATTAAGAAAAAAACTTAAAATTATTATTCCTGATAACATTTCAATACAAATAAATTTCTGACACAAAGATAATTTATAGTTAATACTTACTACACTTTAAGCACCTTTCAAAATAAAAAAAACCATATTAAAGCTGGTTATTAATTTTGTAACTGTTTAGTTGTGTACAATATATCATTCCTGGAAAGTCATTAATGTACTAGGTTTCTCATAATTATTTTTTCTAGAAACAGTCAAATCACCTGGTCTTATCCTACAATCCAGTAAGCACACACCTCACGGCAAACGCAAGGCCATAAGCTGGAATTTTCGGAACGTTAAAGGCAAACACGAGGTCCGCTATCGTTGGTTTTGAGGCATTATCGGAACCGGCGGTATAACTCCTCACTTATAAAGGAGCGAAAAATAAAAGTGCTGTTTGGCCGTTTGCACTTAATTGGTTACAGATCCTTCATTGTATACCATAAATTAATTGTAAAGTTACAATGAATTGTTATATTAATAATGAATAAGTGCAGAGTTTAAAAAAATTGGCTCTTAACTCGAAAAGATAAAAAAAAAATAATAATAAGAGAAGAACAAAATATTAAGCATATTTTATCGATTTTCTTTTTCTCCTATCTTTTAGCATAAAGAGGCGGCGATATAATTCGTCACTTACACAGGCCTGAAAAATAAAAGTGTTATTTAGCCTTATGCTATTAATTGGTTACAGGACCTTCATTGTATACCATTAATTGTAAGGTAACAATGGATCGATTGATTGAAAATGAGAAAGTGTAGAGTAGGTAAAAAAATTTTTAATTAACTCAAAAATTTTAAAAAAGATAGGAGAAAAATAGAATCCATAAAATATTTAGCATATTACGATTTAAAAAATGCACTTTCATTATTCTTTAAAATTTGCCGAACTTTTACATAGAATATTAAAAAATTAGGATTTTATGAATTTACTATAACCTAAATATGAATTCTGGAATTACTTATTTAATATTTTTTAAAAATAATTCGATTAGAAATTTGATTTGAAATAATATTTTAAAATTTTGAAATTAATATTTATAAGAATTTTTTATTCTAAAAGTATAATATTTAAATCCGTATATATTCTTTGTTTTGAAGTAAATATTTTCGATAAAATTTAATACTAATTCCCTTAAAAATAAATTATTATAACTAGAACAATTCTTAAATTTATTGAAAAATGTTTTTTTTCTTTTAATTTTAATTACCTATTATAAAATGTTTAGTTTGTAGTATTAAACATGTACTTTAAAGTTAAGACTTTTCTTCTATTAAATAAAAGATATATTTATTTTTAATATTACATGATTTCTAAAAATTTATTATTTTTATAATAGATGGTAAAAACATGTACTTATAGAAATTTCATATAATAGCAGGAAAAAGCTAAAGGTCCGTTTTAGCTTGTATTACGGCATTTTAGGAAGAGACCTGAAATGAACTACTATAACTTTTCTCCAAACTATATATATGTATATAAAATTGCTTTTTTTTAAAACCTTTTTTAAAATTAAAATTAATACGCAATTTAGAAATGTTGAACATATTCAGAAATAATTAATATATTTATGGACAAAAAGAAAAATTACTGTAAATTGCTGAAATCCTCCCTTCAATCATACATTTTTTTAGTTCAAAGTAAGGATTTTTTTTATGAAATATACTTTCTTATTTTATTAATTTGTAAACTTTAATTACAATTTAACTATTGTGTTATAATAAACGTTAAAATAGAACATTTTTAATTTATATAAATTGTTTTCCTCTATTTAAATGTTCAAAATTTAATGTTTATTTTATTTTAAAATCTCAGTTTAATCACTTACTTTTTAAAAACAGGATTAAAAATAGTTAAAAGAGTTTTAAGAATTTTACATTAATAAAATGCGTTTAAATTTTTTTAATGGTTAGAACAAAAGTCTAGTATAATAAACTCAATATATAATTTTTTTTTCAAAAACTTTTGGGGAAATATTTGGAAATAGAAGAAGAATAGCTAATAGAAGAATGGCTAAAGAAATTCTGTTTCTAAAAATTCGTTTTTTAATAATAACAACAAAAAGTTTGGAATTTTTATTAATTGAATTTCAAAATATTAATCAAAATTACAATAAAATGGTTTACTGATAAAATGATTACTGATAAAATGATTTTTTTTTATTTTAAATTTTAGTACAGAATATAAATGAAAATCAAAATTATACTTTCAAATTGCTCAACATAGTTATTTTTCATTTACAAAGCAAAAATATTTTTTCATGTAGCATCATATTTATTTCTGAAATAATTTTTAAAATAAATAAATAAAATCTTTTAAATGCCATATAGAGAGGGCGCTGTTTATTATTTTTTACGTGCTTTCAAAACCTTCCGATAGATGGCAGGGAAATTATTTTTCTAGCGTTCACACCATTAGGAGCCAAAAATAAACAACAAAAAACTACCTCCTCAGCAGAGGGAGAAAGAGGGCTTTATTTTCTTCAGAATTCGGAAAGATAAGAAGCGTCAGTTTAAGATCGCTAAAAATCAAGATAAGAACAACAGTAACAAAGATTAATTTCGCTTAAAATATTTTGGCAGAACAACAATATAAAAGAAAATGGAAATCACTTTCTATAAAATGGCACAGCTTAGTGATGGTTAATAAAATTAAATTCGGCTAACTAAAGCCCTTTTTATGTCTTTTTTCAGTTATAGATGACTTAATACTATCAATAATACTCCAAAAACACCTATTTTATACTTAATATGGTATTTTTTAAAATTTAATGTTATTTAGCATTTTTATTCTTTGCGAGTGGAAAGTTTTTTTTTTTCATGAAGTGGAAAAAT